GGCCGGGGGGGCGGCTAGAAATCATGATTGAGAGACTGACCCTCGGGAAACTACTACTCAGACGCTTAGCAACAAAGAAATGGGGTGCTTGACTTAGTTAAATTCATTCTTGTGCTCCTTTAAAACATTTATCTGGACATCTGTCTTGACTTTGATTTAGTAGTACACTGGGACTTGGACTAGTATTTGGAGTGTGGTTTCTTGTCAAGGTAAAGCCACTTTCATAAGAATTATGAGGTCCAAATGGCCCTAACATAATGTATAATAAGGGGTTTGCCCAATCATGTGCAGTCCTTTGCTATGACGGGGTCTCCCGCAGATTTATGTTGCATATGTATCAGAAGCAAGCATCTGCTGGGTCCTTTTCTTTGAAGATTCTTTTTTATTCTACGTTTCTTGATAAAAAAAAAAAAGTGATTATTCATCTAAAGCGTTCTTGCAAGGGGTAAAACAACAAAAAGAATTAACACGCACCAGGCACATTGTAGACACTAAAAAATATTTCTATTGAAGTTAATTGTTTTATTTTAAATAATCAAGGGTCACAGACATAGTATTTGGAGAATTCATTCCTGGTATTTTTTTTTAATAACCTACTCTTTGTCCTTTATGCCTCATATCAAACAAATCCAGAGTGCTCATTAAATGCAAGAAACAATTATAAGAGGCTGAAAATACAGGAAAAGAACTCTGAAATTGGGGGATCCACTGCTTTCATAGAAAGCCTGCTCATTGTTTAAAGCGGGGGCACTACCCCATCATTCAAGGTGGTTTCCTGTAAACACAAGACTGAGAAATGGCCTGGGTAAGCAGAGGCACTTCAGCAAAGGCAGGTAGGAACATGAGGAAACCATGGAGAAGAATTTCTCTGAACAGTTAATGTTTACTTCAATTTTTTTTTCTTTTGTTTGTTACAATGTCTCTAATTTTTAGCTGTAGTAGGTCATGTTCTACAGATAGGTTTACATCCTGGCTCTTCGCATGACCTTAATTAACTTCAGCTCTCTAAGCCTTACTTTCCTCTTTTCTAAAACTGAGATTCTAATACCTACCTTACTGAAATATAAAGAGTAAATGAAATATGTAAAAAGCACTTAGCATTATTATAATGCCAGGTATATAACATCTTTTCAATAAAAATTGTAAGTGATATGCTGATCAAAATTGGATGTTATATTTGTAAGGAACTTACATATATAAGAACATTTTTAAGACAAAACTCAAATACTTTTAGAAATATACAGCAAAGGGGGAAAAATGATAATAGAGGCATAATTATTTTCTGATGTCAAGTATCCATTGCTTAAGGTAGAGAAGAGGTGGGAATGATTCATGTCAAAAGAGCTAAAAAAAATAAAATAAAAAGTCTTGTAACTTAAAAATGTATCACTGCTGCACGCCTCCAAAAACATTTTTAATTCTAGAAGACTGGTTCTCTAAAGGTTTCAAATTACTAGAGTTCAAATTCAGAGTTCCCAATTTCATGTCTATTTCATGGAATTTAAATTTGGATGTCACCCAGATGTGTATAGTTCAACTACAATTTGAACACGTCACAGGAACCTAAACAGCAGTGAATTTCAAAATTCAAATTAGAAGCATCTTTACTATTGTATATTGTAAACCTTTAGATCTCTACAATGGATAGGTAATAGTATTTAAAGCCATAAAATAAAAACAATAATCTTAAATATAAACAGAACCAATAAAATATAAACAGATTTAACCTTCAGATTAAAAAAATGAAAGTGGTCTTTTGTGGTGGTTGCTAGTATCTTAAAACTAGTATGTCTTTACAAGATATTAAAAATAATCTTTTTCCATCGAATTTTCTTATTTGTTAATTGCTGGTGTAATTTAAAATGTGATGTGAAAGCCTTACTAAGAAAAAAACAGAAACTCCACATCATACTGGAGGTTTGAGATGTTTTATTGTTGTATTTAATATATGTTTATTGATTTCAGAGAGAGAGAGAGAGAGAGATCAATGATGAGATAAAATCATTGATTGGCTGCCTCCTACACATCTCCTACTAGGGACTAAGCTGGAAATCCGGTCATGTGCCCTTGGCCAGTACCGAACCCTTCAGTTCGCAGGCCAATTCCTCTTATCTACTGAGCCAAACCAGCTAGGGCTGGAGGTTTGAATTTTAATGCTTTTCTATAGTCCTTTCATCCTATAGGTTTTTTTTTTCTTTTTAAAAACATTTTACAAATTTCCTTGAAGTGGAAAAAAAGAAAGTGCCTTAACATTTTGATGAACGAACAACAATCTATCTAGTTTTTCTTTGAATATATTCCTAAAAGAGGTAAATGAAGAAAACCAATGGAGACAGGCAAAATGAAATAACAATCACAAAGGACACAGATTTTATTTCCTTTATACCTAAATGTTCCATTTTTATAGAAATAAAATTAATTTTAAAAGAAAAACCAGAAAGTAATCTTACAATGAATTTATTCTTTACATTTGTAGTTTCAAAGCAGAGAATATTCATGCAAAAATATAGTAAAATACTATTCAATTTTCAGAAGTTATGATTGTTCATTTTTTGATGCATTTTTTAAAACTAACTGCCTTATTTTATTTCAAAACCTCACAGTAAGTGTAGCCAGTTTTAAAATTTCAGAATTCATATAAGTAGTGGTAATTGACTGTAGTAGAAATTATCATTTTCAAAATTGCAGCTATATTTTTCTCCCTTCCTCTTTTTAGTATCAACCACTTGAAAATCCATATCTCTGATGTTTTTAGCATGTCCACAATTATCTACACCACTAGAAATAAAGAAGGAAGAAGAAAACAAGCATAAAGGGAAAAAAGAGAAGAGAAGGGAAGGGGAAGGGAGGGAAGAGGAAAGGAAGGGGAGGGGAGGAGAGGGGAGGGAGGGAAGAGGAGGGGAAGGAAGGCCTTAGCATATCAATTTTGTCACAGATATTTGTCTACATTTATCATTTTGTTATTGGCATCTTTTATATTATAGTTTGAAATTTTAAAAATTCAATTTTCCTATAGTAAATTATGGCAACATTTTCTTAAATGTTTTCTGGGTTTACAGTCTTGATTAATAAAATTTTGCCAGCCCTAGCCAGTTTTGCTCAGTGGATAGAGCTTCAGCCTGTGGACCAGAAGATCCCTGGTTCACATGTACCTTGGTTGCAGGTGCCTCCTCAGCCCAGGCCCTGGTCAAGGCTCCTGCAGTAGGTAACAAACGGATGTGTTGCTCTCACATCAATGTTTCTCTTTGTCTTTCCCTCTCTCTTCCACTTTCCCTAAAAATCAATGGGAAAATATCCTCAGTGAGGATTTAAAAAAAAAAAAAGAATATTTTGCCAAAATTATATATATTATAAGCACACTTCTAAATTTTAAAAACTTTCAATGTTCTTCTATTTCCTTTTTTGATATTTAAACTAGAGGCCAGGTGCACAAATTCGTGCACAGGTGGGTCCCTCAGCCTGGCTGGCGACCGGTTGTTCAGTCACACAGACTTTGATATATATATATATAGATAGTTAATTCATCTGGAGTTTATTTTTATGTAGGGGATAAAATAGATTCCAATTTTATTTCTTCCAGATGGATAGCCATTAAAGCAGAACTTTTTAAAAAATTATCCATTCCCATCAAATATATCATTTTATATATTCAATTCTTATTTTAATAACATTTATGAAATACTGTATACCTGTAGCGTATTTGTCTGCTTCTATACCAATACCATATTGATTTGTGCTTAGTGTATTTTTGTTGTTGATGTCCTGGTATCTCCAATAATTAAGTCTCTTTTCCTTTTCCTCTTTTATTTCTAGCTCATTTTAGACAATTAATAATATTTTAAACAAGTCCCCTTTTCCTTCAAAAGCACATTGAGATTCTAAAGCACTGCAATATATATATATATTTATATTAGAAGAATTGACTTCTTATTAATAAGTTTTCCTGTCCAAAGACATAGAAACCATTCCATTTTTTTCAATTTTATTTTATGTCTTTCAATTATATTTTATATTTTTATATCATGAAATATTTCAAACATATATAAAAGTCTGACAAATCATTTACTATGTCCCTTTTACAGAGATTAGATGCTTGCTTTTGAGAAAATATTTTACATATAACAACTCCTAGATATAAAGAGCTCCTTAACTTAAATTTCTTCATTTTTGTCTTGTGAAGTGATCACTATGATTTCATTTCATTTAACTTAAATAGTTACTGAATTTAATCAGTGTCCACTAAAAACTATTTTCAGGTAAAACACTATTTAGTTTTTTGTTCTGTTCTAACTCATTTTTGATCAATAGATCTGCATTGATTGCTTCCTCTTGGTATATTGCACTATAAAATACCAAATAACTAATAAAGAAACATGGCACATTCAAATAAAGGATTTAATAAATTAAGATATGAATTGATTCAGGTTTAATTATTACATACTACCTTCTCTTCCTACAGACTTCTGTTGTTGCTGGTGGAAATGGGTTCTTGCAGAGTTGCAAGAAAGAAATTTCAAAGGGCACACACGTGGGAGAAGTTTAAACATAGTGGCAAGATTTATTGGGGCGAAGGAAAATATTATGCCCTCAGGGATGTAGAGGGCAGGCAGGCTCTAGCAGCAACTG